TTGGGTTTGGGTCAAATCATATTCAACCTGAACCTGAGGATCACCCCTATTCAGCAGTTTAACATCCCTTTTATTGTTTTGAAGCCCCCCTCTATACATAGATCTAATGTCCACTGTTCTGCAGAACTATCCACATCACTAATGTCCACCACTACCATGAATACAAACATACAATATCCTGTTCAGCAGTATAATGTTATGATTATTATTTCAGATTTTCTTGAAAACAGTCACCTTACTGTTAAGAACAAAAAATAGCTGACACTTACCCAGCTTACATGAGCCTTGTAATTAAAAATCATGTCAGCACTTTCATCCTTGCTCTGAGATGGTAATAGACAGCTGGACAACAAATCAGATGACACCAGTTATTGATTTTATAACTGATAGGCAAGTGGTTATTTTATTAAAATGTTTTAAACTTATTAAAGTAATACTGTTGAATCATTTCATCATTATCTGCTTTTCTATGGCCAGTGATGAGTAAATGAGGAAATATTCATTTGACAAATGTCCATTCAAATTGATCTACATTAAGCTGTAGCCCCAACTTTCAACAACCTATGCACATCCCTTTATTTTTGCCAGCTGTCCAAACTGACAGCTATCAGTCTGGAACAGCCCAACGCTGATGTGCAACCCCCACCACTGACAGCACCCTGCCTGCATTCCATCTGTTTATCCTTAGCTGGCCGTGGAATACATTTTTCAGCATGACCGGTGTATTCTGTGTCTTTTTTTATTTACCTACGAAGTCACCAACCATCAGATTTCAATACAATTCCTAATCCATAATAAAAAAAAAATAGTGCAGTGTTACCTGTTTAAACACCACCACTAAAAACCAAGTGTAATATACTGTATATAAACCCAATGCAATATGTCTAAAAATAAATCTCTTAAAATGTATTTAAAATGCATGAATCAGTTTGACAGATCCATACAAACACACACAACTAAAAAATGAATAAATAAACAGTTCTAGCAATAAGATCCCCTAAAGTGTGAACCCGACGATTGAGTGAAATTAAATAATGAAATAATGATAATAGTGCAGTCATGAAGAGTCAATACAAAGAGCGCAAAACCATATGCATAACTCACAGTGTAATATCAATAAAAAATCGATTGCTGGGGATCAGGTCCACAACATATATAAATGAACTGTAAAAGAATAAATGTCTCTTAAATAGGTATAGAAACAACAGTCTCTTTTGTGCAGCTGTTCAAATTGTCCTTTAATCTTCTCACAGAAACAGAACAAGCTTTGTTTCTTTATGCTCCCACCTCCTCAGATGGACCTCTACATTACAGGAGGTCAGACAGGCATCCACATTATTTGGAGCACTTCACTCCTGCTCATTTTTCAGATTGTCAACAGTAATGTCCAAAGTAGAGTAATTCATGCAGGGAATGCAAAAACAATGCACAAGGTATTAATATAGAAATGTATTATAAAATCTGCCTGGAAAACACTCACATTGTTTAAAGCAATCATTCAGCTTTCGGTAATATTGTGGCCCCAGAACAGTATCTATCCACACACCAGTACTGTAATCCCGGCTGTCCATGTGGTTCTTCCTAGCTTGATGACTTCAAAGACACCCCCATCTGACATGTTGCTTCCTGATTGCAACTCCTCAGAGAAACAGTGCTTACCCCTATTTTATTTTTATTTTGATGTCACTTTGCAGTTTCGAACACTTACAGCTGGGACTATGATTAATCCTTTTACCCCTAGTGCACAGTGCTGGGACAGCTACATCACTTCCTGTTAGCAGAGTAGAGCTTCTTCTACTGGTAACATAAGATCTTGGGACCTGTAGTCCTACAGCCAATTCATACTGCATTCCTGAGTGCTGATTGAACTACACATACTAGAAAGCTGATGATCCAGAAGGATTCTAGGAGAGCAGATATATTCGATTGCAAGGGGTCTCTTGGCACGGGATTCAGAGCTGGATGCAGGGAGACTGCCGTTCTCCTCAAGAGACCTATTGCGGGTCTGTGGCTGCGGGACTTTGGGTGGCGGATCTGCATTGCCATGACGCAGAATGCCACACTAGGATCGCATTGCTCTTTCTCTGCACTGGGACTGCCACTGTCCAGCCCCCCCACAGACATAGCTGTTTGCCATGCTGACAGGCTATCAGGAGGTCACTCTACACATCTTTACAGACAGTTAAGAACCTGTTCAAGAACTCTTTGTTCCTAGGAGGCTGTGCTATCAACAGAATTGGTGATCTGGAGGATGTCCAACCTCCTTCTGTCATCGCTCTAGAAACACTGCATGCAGAAATCTCTTACAACTCAGTCACCAGGAATCCTTTGCTTTGAGCAGTATCACATCTTATCTGTTTAACTCCATCAAATTACCAGTATTTAATAAGGGTTTTGGGCCCCACCACTGCTAGCAGAAGACAGGGGATATCACCAAATTAGGAACTCCTAGCATCACAGGACTCAAGCTGCAGTTGCTAGTTAAAGGGACATCTTCCTTTCTAAGGCCATTGTTATTTAAGCAAGGGTACTTACAGTACATATCCTTATGCAGGAGTATACATTTATATAGGATTTTCTGCATACCCCTCCAGAGGGAGCTGATAAGCTCACAAGCCTTCTCTTCCCCTCTTACTGCTTGTGTTGCATTGAAATGGTTGAAATTTACTTCACATAACTGTATAATCTGTTAAACATTGCTAATCGTCTGTTCCTATTGTACTAGTATTTCTGCATGCATGCGTTAACTGGGGCTGTGCATACTAATCCCATTATTCCTTTGGTCTACTCTTTTGAGTAAGCAATAATATAGAGGTGTTTATAAAGAACTGTATTGATTGCATTATTATTCTCTATTATTGAAGTATGTGTGAACCCAGAGTGTCAGAGGTGTCAACCACTGAGGACAAGCATCATTGAGCGGCCCCTACAGGGGTAGTGCTACATTTTTTTTTCTTTTGGTTTGATTGTGTGAAGGAAGCAATATAAGCTATCATCTGGAGGTAATTTTCAAACAGTTTAAATCAGAGCAGGGTGATTTTATATTTGTCAAAACTTCTAATCGATGCTATGCCTGAAGCGTTAGGAATGATTAACCTCTGGATGGTTTTTACTGCTATCTGTAGAAAGATTTTCCCTCACTCCCTATCATACTGACAATGGTTTTACTATTCAGTCCCAGTCCCCTGGACACAGTTTTCCCCACCTACAGTCTGCCTCAGGCCTTCCCAGTGACCAGGTGGTCCTGCCCAGATCCCTTCCACTTACCAGAATGGCCCACCCAAACCCCACTTCCAGTTATGCAGGGGCCACCCACTCACTGCCCCTGATTACAATGAATGCCTCATTGCATTACTATGTTTTTACAGTTCAAATAAGGGTGATGCTCTGATTCTGGGGCATTTCCTGGGACAAAGCAGCATCAGGACTGTTCAGACAGCTGACAGCTATGCTTTACCAGACAGGAAGTAAGAGAACTGCAGCACAGTGGCTAAATGGTTACTACTAGGGTCGTTCGTTTGAATCCCAGCCATGGCATCTCCTGCCTGGAATTTGCATGTTCTCCCTGTGCCTGTGTGGGTTTCCTCCGGGTACTCTGATTTCCTCCTACACTCTAAAGAGGCTGGTAGATTAATTGGATCCTGTCCAAATTGGCCATTGTATATGAATGTGAGTTAGGGATCTTAGAGTGTACACCCCTTGAGGGTTAGGGACTGATGTGAATGTACAATATATATGTAAAGTGATGCACAAATTGATGGCACTAAATAAGTACCTGAAATAAATAAGAGAAGATCTACAATAAAACACAAGCAGCAATAAAAATCTGAAGGGTGCTTTAGTCTTTCCTACTGTAGTAAAAACACGATTTTCTCTCTGTGTTGCTGTTGGAAAATTCCCTTCACTTCCTCTCTTATAAAATCTTGTCAGCAGGACAGGAAGTGAGTGAAAAATACTCTAACAGAGCAGAATAACAAATCAGCTCTGATAAATGTGCAGAACAATGAAAAAAATTCCAACATTACCAACCAGAATGTTGAGGTCTCTGTATAAATATGTCCTGAAAAAAAGAAAATATTAAATACGTTTACATGCAGTATTCCATACTCAACACAAAGTAGAAGAATTACAAACAATTTTAAAAAATGGTCACAATACCCCATACATGAAATACTTCATACGTGTCACCACTGGGCACAGAAAATGTACAGTATGTGTCTATCAATTTATCAGCCATGTAAGTTATTTTAAGAGAATGGCACCCCTATGTGCTGTATAGTAGCTGGAAACACACAAGGCACAGTAGTACACCATAACACTAATAGCATGTGTCGTGCATCAGAAAAAGGAGCATGTATGTTAACCACTCTCCCTCCAGAGGATTTACCCCCCTTCCTGACCAGGCCATTTTTTGCGATACGGCACTGTGTTACTTAAACTGAAAATTGCGCTGTCATGCAACGCTGCACCCAAATAAAATGTATGCCCTTTTTTCCCCATAAATGGAGCTTTATTTTGATGGTATTTGATCGCCTATAAACAAATAAAGACCATCAATTTTGAAAAAAAATAAAATAGTGTTGACGTTTTGCTATAAAACTTATCCAGTAAAAAAATTTTAAAATTCAGATTTCATCATAAATTTAGGCCAAAATGCAGTCTGCTACTTTCTTTTTTAGATTTTGCTAAAAAAAAATCCCAATACATTAAATCCCAGTAAATTAATTGGTTTATGTGAAAGTTATAGCATCTACGAATGGCAGCATATATACTGGGATTTTTTTTTTAATTTATACTAGTAATGGCGGTGACCAGTGACTTATAGCAGGACTGCGGGCATTCTGAAACTGGGGGGGGGGGGGGGACTGACTAACTGCCCAAAAAAAATCCCAATACATGTAAATTAATTGGTTTACGTGAAAGTTATAGCATCTACGAATGGCGGTATATATTCTGGAATTTTTTTTTAATTTATACTAGTAATGGCGGTGATCAGTGACTTATAGCAGAAATGCAGGCATTCTGAAACTGGGGGGGTGGGAACTGACTAACTTCAACTGACATCCCCAGTGACACTAAAACAGTGATCAGTGCTAATAAAAAGCACTGATACTGTGCTAATGACACTGGGCTGGAAGGGCTTAACATCTGGGGCGATCAAAGGGTTAGCTGTGTGCTGTTTTACTATGTGTGCTGCGTGTGTTTTACTATGTAAGCATGTTGCTTTGTATTGCTCTGCTATGCAGAGCAATACAAACCAGAATGCTGGTGCTGACAGGGGAGAGATCTGTGTTGTTTACATACAGACCTCTCCCCTGTCATTGTTCCTCAGCAATCGCCAGATGCTTGTGGGGAATCTCTGGGCGGGATCTGATGATTGATCCAGTGATTGACAGCTGTAGCCGCCAATGGCGGCGCATGCACGCCCCCTACCCCCGAAATGCAAAACCATGTGTATATACCGTAGTTCTGCTATAGGAAGGGGTTAATTGGTCCATTGGGGTGCATTGACAGTTCATTTAAAATAATTATGATATGTCTTAATGGATCCCTAAAGAAAACTTCACTTTCAATAAAAATATATTTAACATATATGACTGCTATACAAGTCATTTTGTCTGTCTGTCTGTTTGCTGTTTTGTGTATAGTAGATATCAATCCTTTCCTAGGGAAAACATTAAAACAGAACTCCTCCCAAGGTACAAATGAATAGCCTATTAAAAGGTAACACAACAACAAAACAGCTTTTGCTGCTATATCTGCATTTAACCCAGAGCTTTATTCTGCAGTATGTTTTTCTGCCTTTAGATGTCCTCAGTCTGCTGGTCAGCATAATTTAACCCACTTCTCTGAGCCCAGGACATTCCAGAACCACCCTAGCCTGTGACTGGACTGTGAAATGAGATGCAGCACAATGATGAGCTGCTCTCTCTTCCTATCAGTATGCTTCTTGTCAGCATATAAACCGTTTGGCCTTTTTTTCTGTCACACCAGCTCTGCTTTACAGGCGTGGTAGAAGGTGGGTACCAGGTCAAATTCAGGTACTTCCACTGCTTATATTTAAACATAAATATAATAATGTCCAGTATTACTGATTATATTTTGTGTTTCTATACATACCCAGAGTTCAGCTTTAATATTGCAAAGGTCGTGCAATGTTAACAGGCCCTCCCATTCCTTCAGTTTGTTGGGGGTTTTTTCTGGAGTTTCACTTTAAAAACACACCCACAGTATCCAGCTTGATCGTTGTACTTTAAAACTTTATTTTTGTATGATTCTTCTTTATATTCATAACAACACTGGAAACATAGAAACATGTAGGCACAGATACATTCTGTATCTGTATTTTGAGTAAAATAGATGACATTTCAACAATAAATACAACTTGAATGATACACGGTATAATGTAATAAATATCATGCTCTTGTGTTAAAATAAGCCATTCAACTTACATGTACAATATATCAAGTGGTTTATATACATATTAGAACTTGTGTACATTTGCATACATTCCATAAAGAAAAAAAAAATTAAAACATAAAATATATTAAAGCTGTATAATATTTTATATTTTTTCTACAATTTATCATTTTTACTACTAAAATAAGCATTTTTTTATACCAATGAGAGCATAACAATCATTTAGACCAGCATACTCTATGCGAAATAGTACTCAAAAAAACTACAATAACCATACAAGGGTATAAAATATGGTAGGAATTCATATATAGTATTGCTTACTGGCCTTGCTTATATTCATGCAAGACGTTTTTAACAGATCATGGCTTTAATACATAAAACATGATAAAATCATATGGAAACCAGCATGTTTTGCTTTATTTTACAATGTTTACAGTATTCATTTTTTGCTTTTGATAAAGATATGTTTTTATATGATTATTCATTTGTTTTATAGCAGTTATCCAAACCACTACAACATTTTTGAGTTTTCTGCTAATACACAAAGAAAATGCTGCCTTATCTGTAAGGAAACAATCCACAATAAAATGTTTCCCTAAAAAATAAAAATATACTAGATAAATAAACATAAAAATTCAATAAATATTTTTTAATAAATTATTCTAAAAAGTTTCATTACATGTTTGACCATAGTTTTTCCATATCTGAATACCATGACACTTTTATTATGATATACGCATACATACAACTCATACATACATATATATATATATATATATATATATATATTTAGGTAGCTTGAAGGAACTTTCCATTTTTAGGAAAAATGTCAAATTTTCCCTGTTCTTAGCTAATACTCATCTTTGGCCTTCCCATTTGACAGTCCCCACGATAGCTTCATTTAGAACACTACTTTATAACTGGGTCAGTCACTATCTTTTAGGGGACCAATGTGCTTTTCTTTCATAATTAAATGTGAAAAGCTGTTTTAGTGTTTCGTGAGAAACATCAAACCTAAATTATTGTAATTAAGATCTATGTCTCTTATGAATAAAAATGAATATTGACACCTGTGAGAAACACAGTAACTGTTCTTTTTTTGGTGGCAAAAGGCTGGCCAACACCCTGCAATCTGAATTTGTAGTCTCTATTGAATGTCCTTTTGCTCCACCAAAGATTTTAGTAGAACATGTACCCAGCAATCTAGTCAATTTGTGACTAGTCAGGCTCCCTTTATTACATAGTTGTTGGTAGATTAAAAAAGATTATTAAATCAGCCTGCATTGTATATGGCCAGCTGATCTGTCATGGCACCAATGAAACAACTTGCTGTCTTTTTGGGATAGAAATTATTGGTGACTGTTTTATTGCATCCTATTTTCTGTATGTGGAACATTAAAATAAAATTCCATATAAAACCTAGCTACTCTTAAAACTGTCTCCACTCCCCTCCTAACACCAATTCTGACTAAGCTATTTTCAGACCGCTCATTTGATCCAGCTCCCCCGTGTCAGCCAGCGCCTGCTGCAGGGGAGAGGAGGAATTGCTGTCAATGGATGGGTCATAGGAGCCTATGGGAGACGTCACTGCTCTAGGCTTTACCAGCTGTTGACCAGACTACAGCTGGCTGAACATAGATAAGTATACAGATGTTTCTTACACAGGTTAGTCAGAATACAGTAGGTGTTAGAAGGGGAGATGTGACACTTTTAAGAGTTAGTAGGTTTTGCTAGAATTCTCCTTTAAGTTGACATCCAGCCATGCTGAAGAGTGCTTTCAATTTGTACCTTAAAATGTATATAAAGTAAAAAATAGCTTTGGAAACAATGTGGAATGGTTGGAACCCCTTTCTGGTTTTTATTGCTGTCTGTGTCCCTGATGGGGAGATTTACCCTCGTTATTGTTTCTTGTGACTATTGTTTCCACTACAGACATTTTTGAGCAGGAATAGAGAGATGATCTTACAAAGGGTAAATTTGTTCTAGCGACTATTGTGTAAAGGTGGGTATCCTCTCACTTTGGAGAGCTCTTTCTTTCCTATGGTGTCTCTGGAACAGGAAATTAAGGGGAATCTCCACAACTGAACACAAAAAAAACTGACCCTAACCATTCCCTACTGTATCCAGATCTAGAAAAAAAGTTTTGTTTTTTACATACACTTTAGGGCTGCTAATTAGAACTGTTAAGATGCTCTACTTATACATTTTGTAAAATCAGAACTCTATTAGCTATGAATATGCTGCAAAAAACACAGTGGGTTTAGGCATTAAAATGCCACGCAGATACAGAGTTACTATTGTGTGAAGCAAGGTGAAATGCAGTATATCAAAGTAATCCTGTGTTTACTTAAAACATTCAATCATGCTGAATTAAAAAGAAAAAAAAAGAACTTGATATTTGGAGGGACACTCAGTTCACCTTGCTGCACTTCAAATGACTTCACACTTCAGGAAATCAAGCCCAATGGATGTGCTTAGACCTGTCAACCATTTTTTTTGTGCTTGGAAATATAGTTGTTCTTTAACTTGGCCTGTGTTTACTAAACTGTGCAACACTTAGTGCAAAGGATGGGTTTTACATCTAGGACAGTTGTGGACATCTTAGTCTTTTTGTGCTTTACAAAATGGATCACACTATTATAAAGTACTGAATACAATCTCATTCAACAGTAACAGCATTAGTCAAATACAACTTCTTGTTGGGAATTGTGAACAATATTTAGCAAACATGGAAACTAATTACTGCCATTGTTGCAACCGATAAAATATATTTTACAAGTTGAAAATACTGCATTTTGCATCTGATATCTTATCATGAACAGCTCATATATTTGCATACTTAATTTGAGAACATTCTGCAAAACTGGCCTGAAAAAATTTTGAGATATAGTTTGTTTAAAATACTGCTTGTGCTTTGAAACAAACTGGTACAAAAGTCAACTAATACTCCATAGAAAATCTAGTTTGGCTCAAATAAAGATATTACAAGACATACAGTATAGTATTTAGCTGTATTCCCAGTGGTTTCCAAAGAGCATTCTCCTCCTTTACAGGTACAAAGCATCCAACATATACCTCCATTGTACAGGACTTACTGGTCCGGATATGCATGTCCACAACTGCCCCCTCTACAATAGCCCTTGTATCTGAATATGATGCTAATCATGATGTGCTGGAGGCACCGCACCAGCAGTTGTTTGGTATAGACAACCTTATTATACTTTATTTTTAAAGTATAACCGAAGACATTTTTTTACATTTTGCCGCAGGGTTTATGGATAAGAACCACTGTCAGATTTTTGCAGTGTCCTCATTATGGAGATTTATCCTCTCTAATTGCCCTACCAATGATGCTGAGAATAAAAGTGGAGATAAATCAAATATTTTGAGTTTACATTTAAACAAGAATTGAGCAGACCTCTTCAAATGGGAACAGTTATTCACAAGATAACTGTGTAAGAGGTGGCATCACTTAGGTTCACACTGTACTGGGTGAGAAATGTGTGTAAATCGCTCATGTTCCCGCACCTGCAGCCAAACCTGCTGCTCTTTAGCAGACGTGCCGAGGTGCCATTAGTTCTTAATGACACCCCATGCATCAGAAAACAGAGCATTTTCAGGTGCCAAAGCACCATGCAGTTCCCTGAGTCTGCGGCTTTAAAGACAACATCAGGGACTTTTTCCCTGTGCTTCCCACAGGTACAGCAGCCCATTCAAATGAATGGGCTGCTATGCCCACACAAATGAGAGCCACACCATCTGCAACCTAGCCACCTTCCTCACATTAGAAAAAATATCTTACTATATCCTGTTGAGTCTATAGGGCAGAAAGTGAAGGGAAATCTCCCTAATGAGATACAGATGGCATTAAAAAAATATGACAGTGTTTTTTACCCCCCCCCCCCCCCCATATCCAAAATCAAAGGAAATTTTGTCTTTTTGATATACTTTACCTTTATGGAGAAAAAACACACTACCTGGTCTTGTAATGCATGCTTTCTACAACAAATACATAGTAGCTGCATTTGCACATCTCCCATAAAGCCGTTGCAGGAAGCTGGAATAATTGCTGACTGACTGCTTTGTTCTTCTCATCTACAATATACTGTGGTATGCTGAAGACTAGACACACACATATCAATTCTGTCACTAGTTACAGGTAGCAGTATTCCACTGCCTAATTGATAAGATACATGTGTTGACCAGAACAGAGCCAACTATACCTAGTGGCATATCAGAGACTTATGTGTATGGTAAAATGACTGTGGTGTTCCAAACCATTTAAAATTGGACATTCTCATTAATTCATTAAAACTGAACATTTTGCACAAAACTGTTATGCATTTTGCTTTCATTTGAACTTGGACTGGTTCATATGCTACATGACAGTAATGATCTGTAAGGATGGAAATATGAAAGCTACCATAACTGCCTTGCAGGCTTTAGAGATGTTACTCTATCCTGACTCCCCTATCCAGCAAATTACTAACCTGGGTCAAGCATGAAATGAGAAACGTCTAAACTAAGTCCTGAATACTTGTCCAGGTCAGTGACTCATTAGGTAGTAAAGACCTGGAACCGGCCTTATTTAAAACAACTCATCAATGGCAGCTGCCGTTATCCTTACAGAGTACTAATGTGCTGATACAATTAAGAAATAATTTTAGCCTGTGTTCATTTAAATTACACAAACATGGGAACAAATAATGCCTAAATATGGAGTAAAAATGGAAATTTCCACTAACCTAAATGGAAATTCAATGTGAAGATGTAATGTACATCTTTAGCAAATAAGCCCCTGCATTAGCCACTTTGCTCTTTACAGCACAACTATATTGAGATGTTAAAAGTGTGCTTTAGTTAAGTGAAACTAACAAGCTTAGTATATATATTTAATGTAAAGATATATTATTGGTTTTATTAAATAATGAGCGCAAAGAGCAGTAGAGTTAGCCCTAGAAATCTATTAATTATCAGAACTTAGCTCAGTTTGTTAGGACATACGTCATGGTATGTAATTCTTCAAGGCTATATCAAATCATCACACTTGAATGACAAACTGCAGAAGAACACATATGAGTTTATTTAATAAAACGCACAAAGTGCAATGCGATGTGCAAATTAGGGAAAACAAATTAGAGAAACAAATTCTCTTAACAGATTTTGTGGTGGTAATATGGTTGCTACTGGTCATGGTACATCCTCACTGCATTTTGTATTGCATTACTAAATAAACATGCTTTACTTCTTCCTTAGTCTTTTATTACTATGACCTTTAAGTATAACATCTGATTATGAAAAGAGAACCTGTATAATTATGATTTGACTTCAGTGCCTGCCAGCATGTTTAAAGAAGGACTAAGCAATTTAATGTGTGATTGTGGTATTACATCTCTCCATCCATTTCCAACTAATGTTAAGGGCTAATTCTCTGAAAGATATTTTATAAAATTATCTATGTAACATTTTTCTTTTGATTTACAATCATGAGCAAGAGAAACATTGTCAGTGAACATAAACTTCAACTGATATATTTAGCTCTTAATGGCCAATTTAGCAGCTATCACTGAGACAAGGATTGATTGCAATGAGGCCAACATTATGCATTTAGCAAAAGGACTAAGACTGTCCAGACACATAGCACGCATAGAACAAGAAGAAAAATTAGATTCAGTATCATTCCCAATAATATATTAGGGGTTCTAGCTTCAGTTTAATTTTTTTTCAGCCATTTTAAAAGTTTTTTATGTACTTCAGTTGAATGAGTGCAATTTTGTACTGCCAAAGACACATTACCCATAAAATAAATTAAACCACTTACTGAAAGATGTATGTAGCCTACCATTGCTGATCTTTGTTATTGGAAATGATAGTTGTCTGCCTTTCATGCTGATCCAATGGCTTCAATACTTTTCAGCCTCTGACCTGGCACAAGTATCCAGATCGCGTTACCTGACTTCTCTTGCTGAATGCACAAAATAGCTAAGCATCTAACATTTTCCTTAGGAACTAGTAAAGGCATCCTTCTCACCCCTCTCAGCACACGTAAACATTAATTGTAGTGGGTATAGGGTTTACTTGTTATACAAAACAAATGTGCTTTTCTTAGACATTTTGTTTTTTCATTATAATTTTTTATGTCAGCATGAACTAATTTGAATAACACATTATATAAAAATGAGCATAGTAACAAACCACTGTCAAAGGCTTGTATTTTGTGTGTTAAGGAATGTTATAGAGAACGGAATGTAAATAAACAGCTATAAATACATGGTGCATTTATTTTTTTAAGTGTAAAGGAAAGCCATCTCACCCTGGTGTCAAGCAGACAGTCACTAGGGTTATGTTATAAAAACTGAGGCCAAGGTTTATTTTGAAAATGAGATGCGGTCAATTACAACCAATGTGATTTAAAAATTGGTTTGAAAAAAGAAACATCACACCTGGCAATATTAGTTGCAATAAACAGCATTATTTTCTTGTCTTTTGTATACTTTTATTTTTACCTGACAGGACTGGTTCTTTCTCGTCAGAAGACAGTAATGTATAAGGTATAACTAACAAACTAAAATTATTCATCCACCCAATCATTTGTTGTATGTAACTGGTTGCATTCTGCTTATATAGCAATTTTTGGTTTAAATTATTAATAAACAAGATATTTGTAAATCAGTATTATAAATCTGTTGACCCAAAATAGTGCCTAAGAATGTACTTTATTGCAGCATGCCTCTGATATTTTTTATCATATTAGTAAATACACGTTGAAAATGAATATTGTTGCTTTTGGGTGTGTGCTATCATGCAAGAAAGATCCAGGTAATATAATTCTCAACTGAGATTCATATTTCATGGGACAGCAATGCTTAATGTATTACCAGATGCAGAAGCTAGATTCCTAAGCTCGGAGCTCAGACACCACACAGGCGTATTTCATTGCATTTATTCTGAAATGCATGATTATTGCATGCAATTTAATATTTTTCGTCTGCGTGTATATAAAAATCTTTTTCTTGGAAGCATTTCTAGCAATTAACATGCTGGAAATGAGAATTCAGTCCTATTAAATTATGCTGACCACTGTGAAAATTGAAATTAATTTTACCCTAAAGTAAGTACAATATTTTCAACCCCAGTCCTTTCTGAGGCAATATAACTACAAATCATGTGCCATTTATTTCCAGGTGTTAAAATGATTGCATTGCCAAGTGTTAAACATGCTATTGTCCCATCTTCAATGATGCTGAAATGGGTGCAGCTCTTTCCCATTTATGGGCCTTTACATAACCACACATTTCCCTTTCAATTTTTCTTTTCTTTTTTGCTGTTTGCTCTTTTTGCCATCTATCTGGAGGCTCACAGTCCTGCGTTTCTCAAGGTTTAGCAGCTCTTGAAACAGCTCTTTCACATTGTGGTTCATCTTGGCTGATGTCTCCATAAAGGCACATTTCCACTTTTTTGCTATTGCTTCGCCTTCTGAGCTTTCCAGTTCTCTGTTTTGTGTTTCATCACTTTTATTTCCAACCAGCATTATAGGAATGCTTTCAACATCCCCTTTAATCTGACAAATTTGTTCATAGATTGGCTTCAGTTCTTCGAGGGATTGCCTGCTGGTCACAGAATAAACCAAAATGAAGGCATGTCCTTTTGATATAGACAGGCGCTGCATAGCTGGAAATTGGTGGCTTCCAGTGGTGTCAGTAATTTGTAAAGTACATATGCTTTTATCACAGCTTATCACTTGTCTGTAGGTGTCTTCGATTGTTGGGATGTAACTTTCTCGAAATGTGCCTTTCACAAACCTTAGGACGAGGGAACTTTTACCGACTCCTCCTGCTCCAAACACCACTACTCTGTAATCATTACTTTGTTCTGGCATTTTCAGAATGAATCAGATGTCTTCCTTGAGAAAAACACCTGCAAAGAAACATACCGAAATATGATCAATACTATGCTTTGTGGATAATTTTTTTTCACTGACTGTAAATTTGACACTTAAAAAACAAAAAGAAATTTGCCAATATGTTTGTTTCTGTGTTACCTATAGCTTTAGAGAAACCCCCAGGCTTTATTCCAAAAATGAGAGATGGAATCTTAATATGTTTATATCATATTGCAGCAGCAGTCCTGAGGAAGACGAGCTTGTGCCTCCTCCAAATGTCTAAATAGAATGTCATCACTGATTGCTCACCTTTCAAGCCCAATGGATGCTGTTTTATCTTTATATGGATTATATGTACTTCATGCATTGCTGAGCACCCGGGCCCATTTTCTCTTGGGTTCAAATACAGTGGAAACTACTGGATTATACTTCTGCAGCTAACAGTGGGTTAGGCTACAATGTACTGAACATTAGGCATGGCTTAAAGGGGCATAGGTTAATTAAACATGAGCCAACTTACAATATGCACTATTCACATTTTTTGCAGCAGGATTTATTATAGGCATAGTGGAATTATCCTGGGGTACACAGGGCCCCCAGATTTTCCTAAAATTTTTGGACAATAGTGCCAAATCAGGGACTCTTATGAGGTATAAGTACCACACTTGGTACATATATTACACACTGACACACTAGATACATGTCTGCAGATAAGGAATCAGTACTGTACTGACTAGTGCTTTTGCTCAGAGAAAGGAACTCCCTGCCTCACCCCCTGGGTCACGCTTGTCTTTCCACCTACCCACTTTCCAACACTTCCCCTTGTCTCTGTCCTTTACCCACCGCCTTGAACCACCCCATTTATTATAATACAGAATCAAGTGTCATGTTGTAGTGCTAAACAAGTAATTGGTATGGAATTTGTTAATGATAAAAGGAAATGCAGTAAAATGTACAAATCAGGAACAATGAACTCCCAGCAAGAATAATAGGTCCTCCAGCAGAGTAGCAACAATAATAAATCTCCCAGCAGCAACAATACATTTCCCATCAGGAACCACAAATTTCCTAGCACTGCAACATCAATAGATTTTCCTGCTAGCAGCAATAGACTCCCCCAACAGTAGCAATAAATCCTCCAGCAGCAACAACAATTCCCTCAGTAACAACAATACAGTGCCTTGAAAAACTTTTCATACCCCTTGAAATTTTCCACATTTTGTCATGTTACAACCAAAAAAACGTAAATGTATTTTATTAGGATTTTATATGTGATAGACCAACACAAAATGGCACATAATTGTGAAGTGGAAGGAAAATTATACTTGTTTTAAACATTTTTTTACAAATAAATATCTGAAAAGTGTGGTATGCATTTGTATTCAGTCCCCTTTACTCTGATACCCCTAACTAAAATCTAATAGAACCAATTGCCTTCAGAAGTCACCTAATTAGAGTTCACCTGTGTGTAATTTAGTCTCAGAATAGATACAGCTGTTCTGTGAAGCCCTCAGAGGTTTGTTAGAGAACATAAGTGAACAAAACAGCATCATGAAGGCCAAGGAACACACCAGATGGGTCAGGGATAAAGTTGTGGAGAAGTTTAAAGTAGAGTTAGGTTATAAATATAATAATATAATATAAATATACCAAGCTATGAACATCTCATGGAGCAGTGTTCAATCCATCATCTGAAAATAGAAAGAGTATGGCACAACTGCAAACCTACCAAGACATGGCCGTCCACCTAAACTGAAAGGCAAGGCAAGGAGACCATTAATCAGAGAAGCAGCCAAGAGGCCCATGGTAACTCTGGAGGAGCTGCAGAGATCCACAATTATGTGCCACTTCACAATTACGTGCCACTTTGTGTTGGTCTACTACATAAAATCCCAATAAAATACATTTACATTTTTGGTTGTAACATGACAAAATGTGGAAAATTTCAAGGAATATGAATACTTTTTCAAGGCACTGTAGATTCCCTAGGAGCAACAACTGATTCCCCAGCAGCAACAATAGACCACCAACAAAAATATTGGACCCCCACATCAATAACAGACCCCTCCTAAGCTAATATACACAATGTATATTATCTACCATGGCATACTGGGTAGGGGTAGTAAATAAAGGAAAACTATCTGCTGCAATCAGCCATAGTATTGGTACCATAGTGAACAACATAAGCAGTTAAAGGAGTCAGGACTAAGGAGTACAGACTTCCACATCCTTGATCCAAGTTACTGAGAAGCAGGGAGTTAGAGGCGGAGGACATACAGTCAGGTCCATAAATATTGGGACATCGACACAATTCTAACATTTTTGGCTCTATACACCACCACAATGGATTTGAAATGAAACAAACAAGATGTGCTTTAACTGCAGACTGTCAGCTTTAATTTGAGGGTATTTACATCCAAATTGGGTGAACGGTGTAGGAATTACAACAGTTTGCATATGTGCCTCCCACTTCTTAAGGGACCAAAAGTAATGGGACAGAATAATAATCATAAATCAAACTTTCACTTTTTAATACTTGGTTGCAAATCCTTTGCAGTCAATTACAGCCTGAAGTGTGGAACGCATAGACATCACCAGACGCTGGGTTTCATCCCTGGTGATGCTCTGCCAGGCCTCTACTGCAACTGTCTTCAGTTCCTGCTTGTTCTTGGGGCATTTTCCCTTCAGTTTTGTCTTCAGCAAGTGAAATGCATGCTCAATCGGATTCAGGTCAGGTGATTGACTTGGCCATTGCATAACATTCCACTTCTTTCCCTTAAAAAACTCTTTGATTGCTTTTGCAGTATGCTTTGGGTCATTGTCCATCTGCACTGTGAAGCGGCGTCCAATGAATTCTGAAGCATTTGGCTGAATATGAGCAGATAATATTGCCCGAAACACTTCAGAATTCATCCTGCTCTTTTGTCAGCAGTCACATCATCAATAAATACAAGAGAACCAGTTCCATTGGCAGCCATACATGCCCACGCCATGACACTACCACCACCATGCTTCACTGATGAGGTGGTATGCTTAGGATCATGAGCAGTTCCTTTCCTTCTCCATACTCTTCTCTTCCCATCACTCTGGTACAAGTTGATCTTGGTCTCATCTGTCCATAGGATGTTGTTCCAGAACTGTGAAGCCTTTTTTAGATGTCGTTTGGCAAACTCTAATCTGGCCTACCTGTTTTTGAGGCTCACCAATGGTTTCCATCTTGTGGTGAACCCTCTGTATTCACTCTGGTGAAGTCTTCTCTTGATTATTGACTTTGACACACATACACCTACCTCCTGGAGAGTGTTCTTGATCTGGCCAACTGTTGTGAAGGGTGTTTTCTTCACCAGGGAAAGAATTCTTCGGTCATCCACCACAGTTGTTTTCCGTGGTCTTCTGGGTCTTTTGGTGTTGCTGAGCTCACCGGTGCGTTCCTTCTTTTTAAGAATGTTCCAAACAGTTGTTTTGGCCACGCCTAATGTTTTTGCTACCTCTCTGATGGGTTTGTTTTGTTTTTTCAGCCTAATGATGGCTTGCTTCACTGATAGTGACAGCTCTTTGGATCTCATCTAGAGAGTTGACAGCAACAGATTCCAAATGCAAATGGCACACTTGAAATGAACTCTGGACCTTTTAGCTGCTCATTGTAATTGGGATAATGAGGGAATAACACACACCTGGCCATGGAACAGCTAAGAAGCCAATAGTCCCATTACTTTTGGTCCCTTAACAAGTGGGAGGCACATATGAAACTGTTGTAATTCCTACACCGTTCACCTGATTTGGATGTAAATACCCTCAAGTTAAAGCTGACCGTCTGCAGTTAAAGCACATCTTGTTAGTTTTATTTCAAATCCATTGTGGTGGTGTATAGACCCAAACATGTTAGAATTGTGCCAATGTCCCAATATTTATGGACCTGACTGTATCACTCCACTGGCTGCTGACTGAGCCAGCCCAGAGGCTAGAACTATAGAATCATTGGGAAATGTATCTGTGGAATTATTCAACATCCAACTGCAGATAAAGCATCCCACTGTTTCAGGAAAAAAAAACATTTTCAGCAGTTGTTTCATGTCTGGAGAATATTTGTGGGTGCTTTATCACACCATGCGCCCACACTGCCAGTACTTGTATACTGTATACAGCCAGCCCTGTGTCTGCCACAGATGCTGTTACCTGTGCAGAAGAGCTGGTATGGAGTGGTGACTGAAAAAAAGCCCTGGTACAGACAAGCATGATAGATGTTCTAAGACACAGATTAGTACCGTACTGACACATACATGTCATACATGTCCGCAAACATAGAATCAGTACTATACATTGATAAATTTGAATATCCACATGTTCACATTGACAATAAAAAATTAATACTATATAAAAGTCAGTGATACTGTAAATAGGCTTCCTATTTGTTGTGGACAATACATGTTATTTCCTTGAATTGTGTGACACAAATTCACTATGCCGTGTGAGTAGGCGCTACTGCGTCACATATTTCACAGAGCCCTGCCTTCTGAACTACAGAGCTGCAAGAGAAGGAGCTTTAGGTGGAGTACAGGAATCTGCAAGGTACCATGGGATATGTAGTCCTTAGAAATGGAAAACAGCAAATAAGAAGCTGAAAAGCATGCAGGCAATCAAGGAAGTTGTAGAAAGAGATAGCCAGTAGATAAGCACCACTTGATGGTTTTCTGCACAACTGTCAGGTCAGCAGTCTTTCCCATGATTGCGAACCAGACTGAGAGACCATTTAAAAGGCTCAAGAACCCTTTGCAGGCGTTATGGCTTAATTAGCTGATTAGAGTGGGATACTTTGAGCCTAGAATATTGCACCTTTTAAAACAATATTCTAATTTTCTGAGATTGTGGATTTGGGGTTTTCATGAGCTGTAAGCCATAATCATCACAATTATGACAAATCACGGCTTGAACTATCTTGCTTTGTATGTAATGAGTCTATCTCATATATTAGTTTCACCTTTGCATTACTGAAATAA